CAGTGGCCAGAAATACCAGGTGCCATCAGGAGGTCCAGCAGTGGGGCCAGGACATTAGAAGCCCTCCCACTGTTGACCCCCCCAAGCACCAAGAAGACAGAGCATCACTTGCCCCAATCTATACCTTGTGGCTAAGAGCCACTGATGGACCTCTGCTCCATAAGCTTATCCAGTTCCCTCTTGAAGCCGTCCATGCTTGTAGCCGCCACCACTTCCTGTGGCAGTGAATTCCAGGTGTTAATCACTCTTTGGGTGATGAAGGATTTCCTTTTATCCGTTCTAACCCGACCACTCAGCAATTTCATGGAGTGCCTACAAGGAGTTCTTGTATTGTGAGAAACGGAGAAAAGGACCTCATTCTCTACCTGTTCTTTCCCATGCATAATCTTATAAACCTCGATCATGTCACCCCTCAGTCGTGTTTTCTCCAAGCTAAAGAGCCCTAAGCACTTTAACCTTTCCTCATAGGGAAAGTGTTCCAACTCAGGGAAGAAGAAGAGATTGGATTTATGCCCCGCCCTTCACTACCCGAAGGAGTCTCAGAGCGGCCTACCATCTCCTTCCCCTTCCCCTCCCCACAACAGGCACCCTGTGAGGTGGGTGGGGCTGAGAGAGCTCTCTCTCGAGGACTGCTCGTGAGAGAACAGCGCCGAGAGAACTTGTGACTGACCCAGGGTCACCCCGGCAGCTGCATGTGGAGGAGAAGGGCAGGCAAGGTGGGATATAAATCGGAATAAGTAAATAAATAAATGTGGGAAGTCAAGCCCGGTTCTCCCAGATCAGAGTCTTAACCACGGCATTAAACTGGGAAGTGCACTCTGCATCTGCTCAGAGACAATGTTCCGTCTAAGCGGTTAGCAAAAATCCTACTTTGTGAGCTGCTGGCATTAAAGTTGTGAGCAGATGATTTGGCTACTGCATCAATTAGCTTGCTCTGGAGCCCTCCTCCCTGAGCTGAGACAAAAATCTGTGAGCTGGAGGCTAAAATTCTGTGAGCTAGCTCACACTAACTCAGCTTAGAGGGAACACTGCTCAGAGACCACCTTGAATGAGTCCACTTGGCTTTTTCAGGGCCCTTCAGCTAGAATTCAGAAGAGATTTGGGAGCTCAGCTTTGGCTGGAGTTTAAACCCTCCGATTCCCCTCGGAGAAGGGCGAGTCTGGTCTTCACCCAGGGCGTCCACTCTGTGGCTATTACGACCCCCCTCTCTTCCTGGTCCTTTTCCGGGTCTTACTGGCGGGGGACAGATTTAGTGGGATTGGTGGCGCCGTAGCAGCACCGAGCGGGCTAGCTGCGCTGTTTGGAGGAAAGATCCCCGGGCGGTAGTTTGTCCCTGACGGATCAACACGGAGACTGTGTGTCAAACGCGGCCCCAAGGCAGAAAGCTTTTTAATCTGCAGACGGTCAATTCCATCGTGCACGAAGGCAGTAGAACTTCCCAGCCTGAGTCTGGTGGTCCAAAGCGGATCAGAGATCGTCCAAAGCAGATCAGAGTTGATCCAAAGCTGGACAGGAATGCCTCGCCCTCTCCTCTCACGTGATCACCTCCCCTGCCACAGTGATTTGTGGAGAGGCTGGGTGCCGGGTTCAAACTCTGGTATCTCTGCTTAAAAGGTATTGGAAAGCAAGAGAGAAGCTAGATATGAGTCCGGCAGGGGTCATTTCCTGCAGGAGCGCACAGGAGCGGAGCTCCGGCAGTAAAGAGCCCAGGGGGCGGGCACATGCAACAAGCCCCACCCCCTGCATATCAGAGCAAGAAGCAACCAGGTATGTCGCAGAGGGCCCCCCCCGGTCCAAAAAACAGTCCAGTGGCACCTTTAAGACCAAGTTTTATTCAGGTACAAGCTCTCCCTCCTCTGCAAGAACAGATCTGCACGTTCCCCCCCCTGATAGCTAGCAATCCAAAACAGTCCAGTGGCACCTTTAAGACCAAGTTTTATTCAGGTACAAGCTCTCCCTCCTCTTGTGAGGGCAGATCTGCACGTCCCCCCCCCCAATAGCTAGCAATCCAAAACAGTCCAGTGGAGCCTGAGTGGTGGGTGTTGCCTTCTGACACACTTCCAGTGATGTCAGGGGGTGTGGCATTTGCAAATGAGTTATGCTAATGAGTTATGCGAATGAGCTCCTGCACCTCTTTTTCTACGGAATGACCCCTGGAGTCCGGCAGCATCTGAGAGACCGGCAATGTTTTGGAAAGTGAGAATGAGCCTTCTCTGCCTGAGGCTTTGGAGACCGGTTGCCCATCAAATGTAGACCAGTCAGGCATTGGGGGAGGGCTGTGGCTCAGTGGCAGAGTATCTGCCTGGCATGCGGACGGTCCCAGGTTCAATCCCTGGCAACTCCAGGATCAGGCACTAGGTGATGTGAAATACCTCTGCCTGGGACCCTGGAGAGTTGCTGCCAGTCTGAGAAGACAATACTGAATGTTGATGGACCGAGGGTTAGCTTCGTGGGTGTTCATGTGCCCCAGGTTCAATCCCTGGCATCTCCAGTTAAAAGGACTAGGTAGGGTGTGACGTGAAAGACCTCAGCCTCTGACCTTGGGCATATGCTGCCTGACTGAGTAGACAGTACTGAACCTGATATATGCAGGGTCTGGAAGACAGCTTCATAAGAACATAAGAAGAGCTGGATCAGACCACTGGTCCATCTGGCCCAGCATCCTGTATCACACAGTGGCCAACATAGGTCCTCTCTGGAGGTCCAACCAGAGGGCATGGAGGCCAAGGCCTTCAAAAGAACATTTTAAAAAGTCCTGCTGGATCAGACCAGTGAGGGTCCATCTGGTCCAGCATCCTGTCTTACACTGTGGCCAACCAGTTCCTCTAGAGGGCCAACAACAGGGCAGAGAGGCTGAGGCTTTCTCCAGATGTTGCCTCTCGGCTCTGGGATTCAGAGGATTAGATGTTCTTATGAAGGCCTCGGCCTCTCTGCCCTATTGTTGTCCCTCCAGGGGAACTGGTTGACCACTGTGTGGGGCAGGTTGCTGGACTAGATGGACCACTGGTCTGATCCAGCAGGGCTCTTCTTAGGTTCTTATCAGGGCAAGGCCTCAGGCTCTACGCTTTGTTGTTGGCCCTCCAGGGGAACTGGCTGGCCACTGTGTGAGACAGGATGGTGAATTAGAGAGACCATTGGTCTGATCCAGCAGAGCCTTCCTTCCTTCCTTCCTTCCTTCCTTCCTTCCTTCCTTCCTTCCTTCCTTCCTTCCTTCCTTC